CAGAGTTCATTATTATTCCTCCACTAAATGAAAAAAGTCATAATTTATTATCATCTAGAGACTATTAATGTCGCTACAAGCATGCTTAGTGTGAGGGATTGTATTTGAGTCAATGCAATCAACTGGTTTTCCTTAGATAGAAAACTTTGTATCAATCTGACTGGATGATCTGGTTGAACTGTAAAGTGCCTTGAGATGACATGTGTTGTGAATTGGCGCTATATAAATAAACTGAATTGAATTGAATTCAGTTTTAAATGTATTTGGAGTATTTTAATCCCTTTCTTTCCTGCAAATGTACCTACAATATGTAAATTATCTACGCTTCTAAAACATCCTGGTGAGAACCCTTCCATGTAGGCCGGATCCTTCAAAGAACAGTTAAGGGCGAAAGTGAAAGCTGTGAATTGGGACGCTGACAGCATGAGGCATGGCATCTTTTGACCTCATTTATTTGGATGTTCTTGTTATTTATTAGAAAAATCACACATCTTAGAAAATGTATTAATGTTGCATCATTGTTATAATCTGTCGTAGAGAAAAATAAGTGGAATAAACGCCATATGACAAAGGTTAAGGTAAAACCTGCAGAAATTATTTCGATGAAGATAAGGGGTTTTTATTTTCATTTTTAATGAGAGATGTCAAAAAACAGGACATGCCTTCAGCTTTTAGTGAATTGATGATTTTTAGCGACACCATTAACAAGATTTATAAATATAAATCAGATTGGATCCAACTCAACCCTTGGATTGAGTTTGATGACAACGTTATCTTGCTGATATCTTACTGATTTATCTTCCTGGTAAAAGGGAGTTTTCCCTCCAGTCGTTACAAGCATGCTTAGTGTGAGGGATTGCCTTTTAGTCAATTAGTCCATGCGATCAACTGGTTTTCCTTAGATAGAAAACTTTGAATCAGTTTGACTGGATGATCTGGTGAACTGTAAAGTGCCTTGAGATGACATGTGTTGTGAACTGGCGCTATAGAAATAAACTGAATTAAATTCAATCTTGCCAGGGGCAGAACCATGCAGGTAAGTCAGCATTTGTCATTGGACACCCCATTTTAAAAAAGGCAGCCTCTTGAAACATGAAATGTTGAAAGTTATTTTTAATTTAAAAAAATAATGCTATTCAAGAAAAGCTGTCGTGCTTCTAAATCTTTACATTTGGTGTGCATCATTTCATGGGCATTGCGCTACCGTGCATTATGCATAAGTTATTAGCTGTCGTTGGACATAAGCTCTGGACTCGTTGAATACCCCCAAAATTGAAAAAATACATAGAAAGTTCAGCGTATGCCAGAGTTTTAGGAGATTCTTAGACGTCAGGCATACGCTGGCTAAATCGAAAAGGTGTCACAGGGGCTTAAAGCTACAGTGTGTAATAATTACAGGGATATACAGTCAGAAATGTAATATATTATACATAACTATGTTATTTATCATCATCTACGAGCTCAGCCTCTTAACCTTAATATTTGCGTTGCCTTAGAATTCGTTATTTATAATTACATAGGAGCGGGTCTCGCAGCCATGGAGGCAGACATCTTTGCGCTACGGCAGCGCAGAGCCAACAAACTAGCGATTGCGAGATCGCCCATTACGCTCGAAAGTAACTACGGCAAGTTGTTTAAGTCTACATGAAATCTATACCCTACACAGACTAATGAAATACTATCTGTAAAATTATCTATGTAAACAAACCTCATCACTTGAGAAGGTAGGTGATGCGGACGTCGTGGAAGACATTTTGTCCCGTAACGCTCGCCGTACTGTTGGGGGGGAGAAGCGGTGGGGGGGAGATGTTCATGTTGCTGCGGTCTGCAGTCTGGACGTTAGATGTCGCTGAAAATTACACACTGTAGCTTTAAGGAAAACCAGCTGATTGCATCGACTCATTGATGCTTGTAGCGACAGTGGAGAGGAAAAACTCCCTTTTAACAGGAAGAAACCTCCAGCAGAACCAGGCTCAATGTGAGCGGCCATATTTGCTTGTTATGTTTTGCTTATACTTTACTTTTATTTATGTTTTAGTACTCTTTGATTTAAATATAGTTAAATGTAAGCTTCATGTACAATGGGGTGATTTTTGTTCCATTAATGTTGCAAATAAAAAAAAAATTTTTTTTTATGTCTTTGCTGTTTTCTCATATTTTATTTTCGAAATTGTTTTTTAATGTATTCTATTTCTTTTTATTTTCCAAAAATATTTTAAAGATTTTATATTTTAAATTTTCTTTTTAGTTTTTATTTTGAATTAGTATTTTTTTTTTTTACATATTGCATTCTTTCAAATACTGTTTTTGATATCCCTTTACTTCTGGGGGTGGGCTTCCCTCTGGAGTGAGAAGCAAAGACATTTCTATTGGTTCGCTGGATATTTTGATGATCAAGAGTCATATTGGATTTGAAGTGAAGAAAAGGGGATCTGTAAAATTAAGTTTGAAAAGAATTAAATTTGTAAAACTCAATTTGAAAACAGAAATAAATGTAAAAAATCTGAAACAAAATTTTTGGAATCAGAAATTTAAAAAATTTTATTTTGAAAATATTACATCTGTAACTTATATTTGGAAAAAAGTCCAATATTTTTTTTTTATAAAATTTAAGGATAAAAAAAGGAGACATTATATATCAGCAGTGTCGTTGTCACAGATAAACCACGGCAGCATTCAGCCTCTGTTATCTGCTTTATTTCCATCCGAATGCGACTGACTTGAACGAGGAAAAGTAAACTTACTGACTGCAGCTTCAACCTCCATAAAGGTGGTGGAGCTGTTTCTAGTTTACAGCTCAATAAGGATTATCATAAACACCAGCTTAGATGTATAACCTGGACAGGTTTATCTGCTCTGGTCTAAAAAAAACAAGACAAACCACATGAGAGAAACTGTAATGTGCTGAGAAGAGCCTTTGGCTTCAAATACAGACAATCTCAATGTTAATGAAAAAAAAAATCACAAGGTGGTATTTCACTTAGATCGGTTTTCTTGTCACTTCTGCAGAAGCAGCCACTTGATCATATTTGGGTGTGAGGTGACAGCTGGACCTCAATGACATTTTAGAGCTGGATATAAATAGGACTTTAAAAAAAAAGGGAGCTAGGATATAAAAAACTGTATTAGTTTGAAGATTAAAGGTGTAAAAGATGAACAAACTAAACAGCTATTCTGGTTGGATGAGTGTCAGATGGATGCCGGTGTGTGAGGACAGCCTCCAGCCTGCTCCCTGATGAAGTGAGCAGACTGCTGGGGCTTCTGTCTGACTCACAGGAAGTTTGTCATGCTGTGCTGCGGGCCTGTCCAGACCTCAGGACCGATAAACAGGTTTATTTTTGACCTGACTCCGGCCCCTCACGGTTATTTTGCAGACTTCTCACCCAGGTACTCCACGATGTCCTTCACGTCAGTGACCAGGCAATCCAGGTGGTAGCTCTCAGGGGAGAGCGGCAGGTCGGATTCGCCGTAGCCACGCATGTCGACGGCCACCACACGGAACTCGCTCTTGAACTCTCGCAGCTGGTAGCGCCAGGAGAACCTGAGGAAGCCAGATATGTGCGGTCAGCGGTGACGGCTCGCTTCTGTTCCAATCTAATGCAAAATGAGTGTGCCAGAACAGACTCCATGTGAGGATAGGAGACAGCAGTTAAGTTGGGGAAGATTCTCAGTCATCCAGCTCATAGTCAGTCCAAAAAAAAAGTTAAAAACAATCCACTGGACTTTGTTACCAAGTCTGAAGACGTTTCACTTCCCATCCGTGAAGCTTTTTCACTTCAAAATGTCAGAAATAGCGTTGAGATCCAGGTTTTATACAGTAGCTCAAAAAAGCCTTGTTTTTGTTTTGAAAACATGCAAATTGCAACGGACGAACAGGTTCAACCTCTTTAGAATGATGGTAGTTTGCCTTCTTTTATTAGCCTGCACTGCCCTATAACCGTCTAAGAAGCCAAACGACCCCCATTCCAAAGGATTGGACCCGTTCATCAATTTCTATTTGCATGTTTTCAAAACAAAAGCAAGCCTTTGTTGAGCTACTGTATAAAACCTGGAACTCAACACTATTCCTGACATTTTGAATTAAAAAAGCTTCCTGGATGGGAAGAGAAACGTCTTCAAGCTTGGAAACAAAGTCCAGTGGATTGTTTTTAACTTTTTTTCTTGGAAGAAATGAGTTAAATTTCAGCTTCACTCTCTGTAGGGTCTTGAGCCATTTTGTAAATAGGAACAAGCTTAGTTTCCTCAAACAGTTTGTCCTCCTGGAAGTGCAGTGAAATGTTGGTCTCTCATTAACGCCAATGAAAATATATTATATATATATAAAGAAGTATTCAGAAGTATTCAGAAACGCTGAGGTTTCTGAATACTTCTGGGTACTGCGGATACCTTTTTTTCTAAAAGTAGTGAACAGATTTCAAAAAAGAAGGGTGAATTTTTCTGACGACCTTCAGCTCAGTTCATCGTTCTAATCAGGAAAATGGAGAGAGAAGCAGGAACGTCTCCACTCTACTGTTAAATTAATCCGTCTCCGGCCCTCAGCCTACATAAAGTCCTACATGGACAGGCTTATAGCTCTCTGGCCCCGGTCCAGGGCGCAGTGCTCAACATCGTGTCTTGAACGCTTTGGACCATCCATGCTAAATATAAACCATGTCTGTGAATCAGGCTGGCATGGATTTGAAGATATTTCCCAGTCACAGTCATGATATACTGGAGTAAAAAGAACTTTTAGCAGATACAGGAGTTTTTTTCCTCCCCTCAAACCTACCAGAACTCAGGGAAGCCGTGCAAAAACAGCATGAGGGGCTTTCCTCTCTCCCCGGCAGCGACGTAGTGGAACCGAAGGCCAGACTCCTGCAGAAAGAAAACGCACACAAACAAAAACTGGGCTGACAATTTTATCACCAGCCAAGACCTACCAGCTCAGCACTTCTGCATGTATGATTTATAGAAACTCAAGTGTGAAAATGTGTATCAGCAAATGTTAAAGCTTTCAATTCAAACACACATTCTTATCTTGCTATATGTAGTGAGGACCATACGTTGATTCCTATTGATTTTCAGTCATTTTCACCCCTTTCTATGCTCTAACCCTGGCAATAACCATAAATATCCATTACCTGTTCATGCCTAAGCCTAACCTAAAGGTTATGTTCTACACCAAACTATGAGCCAAGCTTAGTTAGTTTTTATTTCTATCCATATTGGGACTTTACATTGACGATCATTCATTTTAGCTCCTGCATTTACCTTAACACACTGATCTCTATTCACTGGTTTGCTGATTGCCCGAAAAAAGTGAAGCCACTGGCCGCCATGCTGGTACTCCCTAACTCCCTAACCTGACTCCGCCAGAAACCTTCCATTGAAGTAATTTTGGGAAGGGGCGAAAATACTGGTTAGCTGATTGGCCTATGTTGGTGATAGACGGGCCAAATAAACCAATCA